ACAACAATAAAATAACTTTTGGTTGCTTTTTGAAGTCCATTACGTATAAATACTATAGTTATGATCAATTAACGGTTACCAATACTGAACTGTTATGTCTTTTGTGAAGGAATCTGTTACTTTGACTGATGAACATCAATTATTTTCTAATATGCCAATGGATATACAATTTTGGGGAATGACAATATTCCCTTGTTCGCAGCCTCTACAACATGAGGCAACTAACAAGAAAACATTATTATTTATGTTCAAACTATTTCTGTATACGTTTCCCAGGCCATAGCTACCCTCGAGGACAATGACAATGTCATGTTCTCTGTATTTTAGTGGGAATATGAATGTTACCATGTGTTAACATACCCATGATGGCTGTTTTATAAGCCAGCTACACATGTTTTTAATACTCCTGGCAGTGTGCAGAGGGCATTGAAAACCCACTTAGACCCACATGCTGGGAATTTTAATTTACAAAAAAAAATAACAATCAAGTAAATAAACAAAATATGTAAACATAATTCTGTTTGAGGGGGTATAGGGTCTATTGTCCTCCTGGCTATGGCCCCTGTTCACTGAAGATCTGAGTGTCCAGGGATCAGTACCTTGTCTCCAGGAGGAAAGGCGTCATGCTCCACTTTGCTTTGAGGCTGGCAGTGACGCCTTTGGGTGTTGATTTGACATGATGCATGTTCAGCAGCAGCAGCGACAGCACAATAATGTTCCTCATTATCTCCGGCGCGACGTAACATGAACCTACAGTGGCAGAAAGCAAAAACCCACCAACGCCACCAGTAAGTTAGTCCCTTCTGCACCTAAAGACAAGTGCCAGTCAGTGCCACGTAGTGAGGAGCAAGTTATTATCTAAACCACAACACCGGTGCACACACACGCCTAAAAAAGACTCAAGAGTACTCATTCAGGAGCTTTGACCCTCATGCTTCTGAAAATAACGCAGGTTCAGGAGTTGAGTTTAGCATTAAAGTAAACTGCCTTGTTGTGAATGGAAGCGGTACACTGGCGTGATTCAACGAACAAAGTCTACAAAGGTGGCTTACTACAGAGGTGTTAACAGTGTAACATTTATAAATACACAACCAGTGGTCACTGTGTTGCCGATAATATCGCCCTCACCCCGTCAGATGATGCTGACCGCTTCCATACAAAGCGAAAGACTTCAGGTTAGGTATTTTGGGCAGCTAACAACCCGTACAGCTCAGCTAGCTTGGTTGCCGGGGTTGCCGCGTATTGTGGTGGCTAGCGCTGGCCGATATTCCTGTGTGAAACAACCGTATAATTAAAAATAAAACCTGGCGTATGATTGTTTTGAGGCACAGTTTCTCGCGTTGTTTAAATGGACACAGTGGCTGAGAGTGAGGGTAAACTTAAAAGAATTATATTGGCAAAGTTGTAATTTATTCAGGCACAGCGGTGGGCAGCTAAAAAGGACAGCCGCTAGAGCTCAAAACGCTTTCACACGAAACACTGGAGCGAGTTGTGTGTGTGTGTGTGTG